TGAGGTAGGCTCAAATTTGATTGTTTAGAGCCTCGGCTCTATATAAACTTTTCCCTATATATAATTAAGAATGGAAGCCTTTTAAGTTTATAATTAAGAATGGAAACCTTTAACTTTTTCCTATATATATAAAAATTTGAGCCTACCTCAAAAATTTCACTAGAAGTTGATATAGAGCCCATGTTCTAAACAATCAAATTAGTACCCACCTCAAAAATTTCACTGGAAGAGGTTGTTTTGATACCCAAATATTGTCAAATTGATCATCTTGACATCAAGATGCATGGACAAGAGAAAAAATGGATTTCAAGTTTTGGAAATAGTGCATCTTGTAACGCATTTTTTTACTGTTAATTTTCAAAATTTTCAAGTTTTCATAGATCTACTCGATTTACACTATTTTTTAAGATTTGGATTTTATAATTAAAGATGAAAATATATTTGAAATAACACAAAGATTTCCAATATTTACACCACATTTTTCAACAATATTTGAAGGTATGCTTTACTTTGATTGCTTAGAGCCGGCCGTATACAAACCGAACCTTTTAAGAAAGGAAAAAGTTTACATATAATCGAGGCTCTAAACAATCAAATTTGAGCCTACATCAAAATTTCATTAGAAGAGGTTGTTTTGATGCCCAAATATCTTCAAGTCGATCATCTCGACATCAAGATGCATGAACATAGTCTTTTTTTTTCTTTAGGAATTTGTAGAACCATTTTTTTCTCTGCAAAATACCTACATGGTGGTGAGTAATCTGTATACAATATATAAATTAAGAAAAAAAAAAAAAAAAAGTTCGAATTTGTTCCAATTTTGCTATGTATTTATTTGAAAATAAAATATTGGAGAGAAATTTTTAGGATTTTGTGAAAAAAATGTGTCCCTTGGTTTTGATTTCGCAGAGTGCGGGAGGAGAGAGGTAGCACTAATATTAGCTTCGGTTTGAAGCTTTTCAAAGCATTACAGTACTAAGAATGTCGTGAAGAATATATTTATGTATCACGATAATTAAAGTACCGTAATATTCTTTACGGTATTTAAATTACCGTAATATTTATTATGGTACTCGAAGTACCATAATGTATATATATTCAAAATGTATGATGATAGAAAGACTACCGTAAAAGGTATTTCCATCTAAAAAATCTCAAAAATTGGAAAAAAGGGTGTGGACGAGGTTTTAAGAAGTTTGGGGTTTTTTACGATTTTTTAAAAATTAAAGTATATTAGCGATAATTTCCTATAAAATTTTAAACTTAAAAAAATATTTAAAATTAAGTAGATCCATAAACATATAAATATCTGAAAAATGGACGGTTTGGATATTATGTATAAGATGCACTATTTCTTTGACTCAAAATCTTTTTTTTTTCATTATTCATACATCTTGATGTCGAGATGATCAACTAGAGGGTTTTTCAACATTAAAACAACGTTTTCCGATGAATTTTTGAGGTGCATGTTTAGTTCTACATTTTAAGGTTGCAACCTTATTTAAACTTTTTCCCTCTTAAAAATAAAGTGGTATTCGGATAAGTTTCTCTTAATAATTCGTTCATAGGTTCATTAAAGTAGAGGGGTATTCTCGGTCATTTTGCGCCCTAATATATCCTAGAAGCCGTTTCTCCCATGTCTATTTCTGGCTAAAAGTAGACGTTGCATATCAAACGGTCACAGTTTTCGACATTTCAAATTTCAAAAACCCCTGTTCCTGCATTCCATTTCCTACACCATTTCCGGATTAAAACCCTAGAGAGAGAAAGGGAGAGCTGAATGGCTTCCACTAAATAGAAAGAAGAGAGGGGAGAGATGAAGATTCCTGTTCTCACTGTGCTTAAGAATGGAACCATCCTTAAACACATCTATCTGCAAAATCCCGACCCTGAAGAACCTGAATCCAGCCCAGAATCATGTGAAATCGATGAATTTTCTGGCAAGAAAGAGAATGAGGAGGAGGTGCTAATGGTTGGAAGGCATCCTGATTGCCATGTTGTTCTGGACCATCCAAGCATCAGCAGATATCACCTTCGGATTCAGTTGCAGAACCGATGCCTGAAATTCATTGTCACTGATTTATCATCAGGTACTACTTTTTTTTTTTTCTGGTTTTTGGGTTTCTCTTGTAGTTGCTACATTTAATTCATTGGTTGGTACCAGCGTTTAGAAGCCCTTCCCAAGACGAGTTGCTCAGCCGAATCAGAGTGGACTCTCCCGTAAAGGGCCAAAAAGCCCTAGAAAAATGAAAAAATAAAAAAATTCAAATATGATTAGAAAGTAAAAAATGGAATTTAAAAAATTGTTTGAGAGTTTTGGGCATTTACAGAAATCCAAAAAAAAAGAAAATATAAAAATAGGGATCATGGTAAAAAGCACTCAGCAATCTATGTCAAAAATAACCAAATCATATGCAATAAATCTATATGACATACCCATATTTTCTACAATTGTTTTGGATTTTTTTGAATTTTTTTATCTACCCTGAGTTGTACATACATTCTTTATGAAGTTTTTTTCAAGTATTTTTCTGGTTTTTGGGTCTTCCGTTGCTTTTGGCATTTCTTTTATGGGAATCTGATTTTCCTGGACATTTGGGGTTTTCGTGTCTTCTGGTGTGCGCAGTGCATGGAACTTGGGTTTCAGGGCAAAAGATTGTCTCACAAGTTGCAGTGGATCTTCAAGAGGGCGATACTTTAAGGCTTGGAGCTTCAACTAGGATCTATAAACTCAGATGGGTTGCAATGGATTCGGCATTTGATTTTGAAAACACCAATTTCTCAGCTGTTTCCCAAGAACAGGACATGTATCATCAGGTAGTTCAATGTGAATTTCCTTTTCTCCAGAAGTACCATATGAGGCATTTTCACGGCAAATCTTTGATTGTTCAGGAACAGGAGAACTATCAGTCACCATCAGTGAAGAAACCAGAGGATCCATGGGCTACAGATGAGCCATCTGCACCCCCATTGCCAGATTCTGCAAACTTTGAGTCTCTAGATGAAGCTTTTACTGCCATTGAAGTCCTTGCTGACAAAGAAAACCAAGGCCCACTGGGTAAAAGATCTCAAAAGAGGGAACCATCAAGTCTCTGGTCTAGAAGATACAAATCCACAAACTTCCTTAGTTTGAACACAGAGAATGTGATCAATGAGAGCTTTGGATCAGGATTGAATTCTAATTTCAATGGTGATTCAGAGGTTCTTAAAGAGAATTATTTTGCTGGGGCTACAAATAATGGAATGATGTATCCAGAATATCAGGGATCATCATTATCCAAAGCAATTTCGAAGCGTTTGAGTGAGGAAGGAGAAGAAATGTATGTTTCTGATAAAGAGAACATGACCCCAAGATCTTCAACAGGTAAGTTAAGGCCAAAGAAGAAATCCACCTCTGAAAACTCCTCGAGACTTAAACAAGGGAGGATTTCTCAGAAAAATATTGCAGAAAGGATCCCCTTTCAGTCTTTGCCTAAAGGCTCTGGTAGCAACATCAACCAGTCAGCTCCTCCTCTCTCTACTACTTCTAGGAACAGCAATGTTCTCGCTGAGAGAAAAGAGAGCTCATCTGCTGTAAGCCTCTCTCTCTCTCTCTCTCTCTCTCTCTGATAGGCCTTTTCATGTTCAGTGATTATACACTATGTCTGCTTTGTTTAGCTAATAGGTTAAAAAACTGTCGCAGAATCAAACTGTGGATCAACGTGATGAAAAGGCAGCAGGAGAGGTCAAGAAGAAATGGCACATGGTGGTGGACTCAAGTTCTCTTATTAATGATGAATCTCGGAGATCACTGAAACTCTTAGAGGGTCTCAAAGGAACCCATCTCATAATTCCGAGAATGGGTACTTTTCTAACCCATAATTCTATATTGCCATTAATTCCCCTTTAATTTTTTCGAATAACACTGTTTCAGTGAAGGCTGCTCAGCAAGCCATAGTCCTAGTATGCAACTTCTATGTATTTCTCTTGTCCTGTTATCAGCACTGCTACAATATTCTCAAAAAAAAAATTTGTCCTGCTATAATGCCCTCGTTTTCTGTTAAGGACGCTAATCCAACCAAAGAATGGTAGTAATCTAACTTAAGAATGAGTACTAATCTAACCCATTTCTGTGGATATATTCTTTCCTGTTATGGGTACTAATTTAATCCATGATTGTAACTATGTCAATATAAACCAATGCTATAATCTTTTCTACTCGAGATTGGTCTTACATTAATTCTAATTTAGCCATTGATAGTTGTGTCCTATCATTGTTTTTATACTCTGAATTTCTCTACTCCTATTGATGGGTTCTCCTTGTACTTTGTGTTCAGTTATAAGGGAGCTAGATTGTTTGAAACGTCGGGGAAATGGCCTCAGGTTTAGGAAGGAGAATGATGCTTCTTTGGCTCTGCAATGGATAGAGGAATGCATGGTAAAGATGAGATGGTGGATTCATGTGCAAAGCTCAGCAGAAAGCATGCCTGTAGCTGTAACACCACCAGCTTCTCCACGAACGAAGTTGAGTGATGGAAGCAACGAGACTGGTGATCCTCTGATACGAGGGAGCCTGATGGAAATAATTTCACCAACCGCTGAGGATCACATCCTCGAATGTGCCCTTCTCTTCAAAAAATTGGCTAGTGATGGACAACTCGTCCTCCTAACAACTGATGTGACTCTGAAAATCAAGGCCATGGCAGAGGTAATAATAGATGTCTCTCTTTCCTCCTCTTTCTATAGGTTCCATGTACGAAGTGTGGTACTTTTACACCATTACCTTTTTTATATGAACTGGGTTAAGGCACTGGTTTTTTGTTGTATTAGTGTTCAAATTTTGCCGATCATTACATGTACATATAGATACCATGCTTAGTTGGGTTAGATTAGGTTGGTTTAGCTTTTGAATTTTAGCATAATTCATAAATTTGAATCCTTTTTTTTTTTCATTTTCCCTATAGATGATTCCCTTGTTGTTATTGTTAGTAACTTAATCTGGGAGACAGCAAAGGAGTTTTGCAAGGATCTTTCCTTTTTATAGATAACACCGGGTTTAGGCCATTTTATTGTTCACTTTTTAGAAATCCTTGTGCTTATAGTTTTCATTTTCGCTCCTGAATTTGAAATTGTGTATAACTGGACTACAAATTGCAGTGGATTTTGCTACCAAGGCTCATTTTAGCATCTTGGTCTGTGAGTCTCTCTCTCAGTTTTTTTATTTTTTATTTTTTTTCTCTCATGTTTTTTCTTAGATAAAACTGCATCAAAAATGCGATTTTAGGCTATTTTAGAGTTCAAACATGCAAATTTTGGTTCACATAAGCCACCATAGTATGCTATTCTTAGGCTATTTTGGTTTCTGAATTAAAACAGTTATGTATAATTATAAATTGAAGGAGTGTTCTCTTTCATTCTGAAGCTCATTTTGGCCCCTCTGAATCTTGTTTTACAAAGACCACTATGCTAATAGGTTGTTCCACCTCCTTAATTTTGAGAATCATGTCCCGTTGACTATGAATCGAAGTGTGTTTTTTATTCTAGCGCCTGTTTTAGTGTCTGAAATTGACCATGTGTTTCTTGATTTTGTTCAGGGATTGATCTGTGAGACAGCAAAGGACTTCTGTGAAAGTCTGGTGAGCCCATATTCAGAGAGGTTCTTATGGGCAGAGAGCACTCCAAGAGGGCCAACCTGGGATAGTTTGGATGATATATGCATCAAGGAAAACATGAGGAAAGGGGAGGATGGATTGAAGAAGAAGGCTACAGAGGGTGCAAAGGGTCTCAAGCTCATATTGCTTCATAACTCGTCTCATTATGGACAGCACCTCAACCTTCTCAATTCAGTCAAGTCCTAATGCTCTCTCATACTGCTCCATAACTCTTCACATTATGGGCAGTATATTTCTCTCTCTCTCTCTCTCTCTCTCTCTCCAAATTCTCAAGGTTCTGGCCTGAGGAGCCAAACCCTTGTGTGAAATAAGTTCTGTCGTTGTTATTGTTTCTTATATTGAAGTGTTTTCTTTTGTGTTTTTTAGAATATGAGTAGACAGTGGTATTTTGCTTTTGCTTCTCTCGAACTGGACAAAAGCTTCGTGTCTTTTTTCATCTAAAGACTATTCATCGTCATTATCAAAACTTGTTCTCAACTAATTGGGCTCGGCTATACGAATCCTGATCCGCTATTTTGTTATATTAAGGGTCATACCTTCAATGAAATCATAAGTTCTTATATATTTTCTCACTACTTCCAACCGTGTCTTTCTGGGCTTACTCCTTGTCCTTTAAGGCCATTCCACTTGAACTAACTCACACCTCCTAACATATGTTGTAATGGGTTTGTGCCACACAAGGCTAGCCCACCAAAGTCTATTATCTCATCTTGTCACTTATTGATGCCACACTTAAATTTTCCGAATGTATTAATTTCAAATTCTATTCATTCTTGTCTTGTCACTAATCCATCTCAACATCATTATCTCCGCTACACTCTTACTATGGGTATATTATTTTTTGATTGCCCAACATTCTACCCCATAAAGTAAAGTTGTTATCAAAGCTTTGCTATAAAACTTACCTTTTAACTTCATTTCATCTAAAGACTAGTATATATGCTTGATGATAACCAAATTTATATATAGTGAAGGAATTTCAAATGAAAAGTGTATAAATAGAAAACAAAAAACGACTAAAATGGCAAAAAATAAATTCATCCTCATTTCTCAAAATCTTATATGTATGCGTGTGTGCATGTATATGTCGTGTGTAGACATAGATACATGCATATCCTACTTGGCAAACACACAAAAAGTACAAGCTTATCGACGCTGCACACATCATGGATACATGGAGAACATTACATCCATCCACCAATATGTCAGTGAGTTTCCAATTCTAGCATCGACATGTCCCACTTTGGTGTTCATCTTATGCAATTGCTTGCACTGAAAGATCAGGTGTCTATCCATGTCAATGTTTTTCTTTTCTCAAATCATTTCTCATTATATTCTAGGAAATGTTCCCATGCACCATGTACATAATAATTTTCTGCATGTGCAGCCCAGATTTTGGTGGGTCATAACCAATGTTCGCATAATCGAACCGGAACGGTTAACCGAACATGGCCCAAAAGCGATTTAACTGGCCTGACCGGTAAAACGGCCGATTCAACCACTCTAATCGGCAAGTCCCGTACGATAAAAAAAAGTGTTAAAAAAATAAAAAAGGTACATAAATAAAATCTATTAAAGTATGAAAAGCATATAAAGAATGTGATTAAAGCAAAACACACTCAAATGAATTTGAAAATTAATGAAAAAAATAAATTTTAATGAATCAATTGTGCCTAGGGGTATTTTTAAAATTTTCTGAAAAAGATGAGAAAATATAAAAACCAAAAAAAAATTTATTCATTACCATAATGTAAAGAATATTAAAATAATGTTAAAAAAATTGCCTTGACCAATTCTTTTCTTTAAAAGAAAATGAAGAAAAACTTAAGTTATATATAATATAACCCATTCTTTTTGTCAACTAAGTACTAAATGTTGTATTGGTTGGTTGATCTAATAATAAAGGACTTGTTTCAAGTTCGATTTTTGTGGATAGTAAATTTTTTGAGTCAATGACGACATAAATTCAATTATAAGAAAAAATGCACATTTTTTTAATCAATGATGAAATGAATTCGATTACATTGGGATTCAAACCATGATTTACAACGCAACTTAACTATCAAAGCTAACCAATAAAACATTCTAACATATGTGATATAAATTTAAATTATTATTGTATATAAAGTTTAAAATATCGGTTGATTACCAAAACCACCCAAATGAATTCGAAATCTTAAGAGAAAAAACACAAAAAGATTCAAACCATGATTCACGTGCAACTTAACTATCAAAGCTAACCAATAAAACATTCTAACATATGTGATATAAACTTGAAGTATTATTATATGTAAAGTTTAAAATATCGGCACCAAAACCACCTAAAACCGGAACCGGCCACTGGCCGGTTCCAATCTAACCGGGCGGTTACCGATTAGATCGGTCGGTTTTGCAAACACCTGTGATAACCTAGACAGATGATCCAATCATCTTAATCTCCATATCAGATTGTCCAATCATCTTAACCTCCAAATGGAGCCCATCGTTTAGAACAGTGAAATTGATTTCCAGCGAAAGGTAGGTGCCCAAATACCCCCAACTCGGAGTATATATATTTAATTTAATTAATCTGTAATTTATTCAATCTTTGTCTAAAGGAAAAAGTTTATATAAGGTGACTTTAGAAGTAAGGTGCAAACTCAAAAACTTAATAGAAAATAGTGTTTTGAAGGTGGAAAACCTTCCAATTGATTATCTCGACCTCGAGATGTATGATATATATAAAAACAAGAATTCCAAATCCTAAAAAATAGTTGATCTTTGTAAAAAGTTATGTAGACCGTCTAATTTTAAGAATTTCAATTTGCACTCTTTATAAAATTTCAAATTTCATTATTAAGGTTGAACATGGATTTTCAAGCTTCCATAAGATTTCGGACACCAAAACTATATCTTCCAAAAAATTTAGATGTGCGTCTTACTTGTAAAGTATAAGGTGGTCACCCTAAACAAGCCTCGCCCTTGTCTCAAGCATTTATAACCATGGTTTCAAAACTCAACCAAGTCCGAGACTTGGGCTTGTTACTTAGACTTGCCCCTAGTAGAGATGAGTTCTTGTGTCCAAACTCACATTAAAAAAAAAAAATTTCATTTAAAGATTATAAACATAAATTTTTTTTTGTAAAATCTCACTCTCTCTCTCTCT